GGATTTTCTAAAAAGGGGCAATGAAATAGTGAACATTTGCTTTGCAACATTTCTTTCGATTCGTTATGCTTAAGCGGAATATTTAACATTCCACTGTCATGATTACAGTGGTGTCATAAGTAAACTATTAATAGTTCTAGCTCATTGACTATTTAATTTTCTAGCATCTAAACGTTAAACATGTCAAAGATTTAACTAATTCGATTGTTTTCAGATTGCAAGCGTGGTTTTGGCTGTTCTCTCGATGCTCTATGGATTGCCCAACCTGTTGAGCGGTGATTGGCATTTGCGTGTTCTCACTCTTCTCGATTGGATAAGCTTCGTCGGATTAATTACAGCTATATTCACGCGTAACTCAATGCTCAATCTGCCTTTTCTGGTGATTAACGTAAGTCTTTCCATAATATTTTTCTTAATTTATATGATACGAATCTTTATATGATATTTATAAGGACGATTCTTGGAAACGAATTGGGATAAGGAAAATGTTTTTCGAGTTAGTGATAGTAGAAAACATCGTTATTGATTTATTAATTGGTTCTCAAATGTCTCTGAAGTACTCTTATTGTAGGAAAATTGAAATTGGGTTAAAAGATTTCAATGCACCGAAATTGTAGTATGATCAACTATTTAAGTTTTGATAACATCATTTTGGTTTTGATTGTTGTAACTAGAATAACTACTGTTTTATCTCGTATAAATATTTGGAAAATCGCTAATTAACGTAAGAAGAATAGATTTCTTTCTTGTAATGAAAACAAAAATGTATTACGGAACATTTAGCAGTCATAAATATTAGGTTTTAGGCAATCTATATCGGTATCTACAGCGTTCTGGCCATCTCATTTGCTCCCGTTATACTTCTTCTCGGTCAGCAAACGCTTCGATCGTATTCCGACAGCTTGGGTCGCTTTACTGGGATCAAACTTGCGTATATGTTCGAAGAAGGCAACTATGGTCACGCTGCTCCCGGACTTGTGTTGTTCCTGTGGTTCATCGCCTTCCTTGTCTCAGTGCTTTACTTCGCCGCCTTCGAGATTATTGTCTACACTACATACAAGCATATGAAGAATGCCCAGCGAGAATCGATTCTGCCGACCACAATTGCCGATCCGCATTATTCAGCTTTGATCGTTCAAGCGCCATCTGCTCGAAGTGATGAAGAAAAGATGATAATTATTGCATCGCATTCACCCATGTAAATGATTTTTTCCAAAGTTAAAAGTATTTTCATTCAATAGTTATGTTTTTTAATTACCGTTGATTTCCCGTTAACTTATTCAATAAAAATTTTCAAATAAGCTTTGCTTTATTCTCTAATGTAAAGAAATCCTAATCAAATATAGCAAAACAGCATAATTCACACTCCACATTTGCACCATTACAAACTGAGGTATCGATATATAAGTGGACACAGTATTTACAGACAGCGAATTTTTAGTAAAAGGATCCCCAGAAAACTTAATTATATTTTCTTAACAAATACTTGTGGATGGGGGATTATGAAATGATCCTAAATTCTTCATTTTGTTTAGTTTCAAAATGTTTAGCAACACAAGTTTTCTGTGTGGTTGAGGTGAAAATTTTCTGAATGATTAACGGAAACTGTGACTGACACCTGATAACTTATTCGAGAACTTATACTTGTACAATTCGAAATGCCCTTACATTTAGAATTGTACATGCAACAATAAATTACGAGAACAAGGCAATTTTTTATTAGAATCAGAAATGAGCAGGTAAAAGTTATAGGAAGCTTATTTTCCATTAACTTTGTTCAAAATATTTTACTCTTATCGAATAGCTGTCAACTATTCATTTCAATTTCGCAGCGATGTATTGACACAAGCTCCAGGCGTCCTTCTCAAAAGCTTCTTCAAGAGTGTAGACTTTTCGGACACCGCTTTCCAAATCCACGGCCACAAAGTGACGTTGGCCTTCAGTGTCGTCCTTGTAAGTGCCCGTAAAATTCAAGAGAGCTGGCATTTCGGTTAAACATCCAGCAGAATTCGGAGCTGGATTTGGTTTTGGGTGTTGATAGTGGCCTTGATGGTGGTTGTGGCGAGCGGTGGGAACGTCCGATTGAGTCAGAGTCACCTCAGGGCCTGAAAATAAAATATGAGTTTTGAGTATGATATAGGCTAAGTTTCACAGATAACGGTAAATTATGGTAATTATACTATTATTGTAACGTGCATGTTATTTAGACAACTCTTACTGAATCTTTTACCTGTGCTATCATCCTCGTCCGTAAAACTGCGCTGTTCGTTTACGACTGGCGAAACCGTCAGAAAACAATACGCTTCGTCTGAACCATCATGGCATTCACGTGTACCATTGCAACGTGACTTCGTGGGAATGCACTCTCGGGACTGGCACTTGAACGTGTTTGCAGGGCAGAAAATGAAGTTACACCCCTCTTCGTCCTGAAGTTAGATTGTTCGTCCATTTTAGCTTTATAAAGAAATTGTCCCAATTTTTATTATGAACTTTGTAATTTTTATCAAAACAGAATATTGGAAGCTTAGGGCTGGCATTATGGACCGGCAAAATCCGTCATTGCTTTTCGAATTTATTCGAGATGTCAATGTTTCATTTTTCAAACACTGCCATATTTGATATTCATGCCCACAGAAAATTCCACTCTGACATAATCCATGAAAAATGATAAATACTTCTAACTCTCAATCTTGCATAATTTATGTTCGTAGCATGAATATCTCACACAGCTAAAGTAAAGTAAAAGTATATAATGATGGACGTTACCTTTCCATTACTACAATCTCGGATGTTATCGCACTTCCAAGCGCTCGGAATGCATCGAGGCGTTCCTTCCCCACAATCGTAGTCCAAATTTCCGGAGCAAATTTCTCCGCTTATGCTCGCCACAAAATATAAAAGAATCACAGTCGCCAAAGGCAATAGAGTATTCATTCCGAATCAATACAATCTACAATGACGAAAATTAAAAAAATTACACTGGGTGCACTTTAGGACAAACGGCGCAGAAATTATATAGTCGAAAGTTTCAGAATTTTGTCATCTTCTCCCTCCTAGTCCATTAGTAATCCAGGTACTATCGGCTTATCGGGGGGGGGGGGGAATTTTCATACATTTTTTCAGGAAAATAATTTTTCATACCATAGGGTACCATGCCAAAAAATTTTTATTAAAAATTTTTGCCAAAAAATCAATAGGGGGACCCTATTGATTTTTTTGACAAATTTTTCAGGAAAATAATTTTTTATACCATAGGATCCCCCCTATGGTGTTTTGCGAAAAAAAATATTTTTTTATTTTCAGCCGAAAATTCAATAGTCTTTTTGAAAATTTTTTTCGAAATTTTTCCAAAAATTCATAGGGGCTACTCTATTGATTTTCTTGGCAAATGTATTTCAAAAAATAAATTTAAATCAATAGGGTCCCCCTATTGTTTTTTTGCTACATAAAATATATGAAAATCCCCCCCCCCGCCCCCGATAACCCTTTCCCCCCGATAAGCCGATAGTACCGTAATCGACAGGTTGGATCCACAACCCTCATAATCTTTTGGTTATAAATTTTGAACTTTGGAAAAGCAAGGATTTTTAGTGGCAATAACAAAATTTGTCGCGGCGCATATAGCCACTTGTAAAATCTTCCCCACCAAATTTCTGGATAAGCCCAACTAAGGACTCGTGGAGCCAAATTTTTATAGCATTTGACTTTGGGCTCCTAAGGAGAATGCGATACATAAATTTTCTCTATCTGAACAACTAAAGTTGTTTGCAGAAATTTATCACACTTTCATATCTCTAAAATATCAAAGTAATACACGAAGATGAATAAGTAAGAGTTTTCCCTGAGGCAACCAACAAATTGGCCTAAAGTCATTCAAGGGACGACTTCAGGTGTTTATGTTATTGACATTAAACATAGGCTTAGGGGAATGTGACCAGTCGTGGCCAGGTGAGTCATCCTCTTGATTTATAACCAGGCAATGATAGAAATCCGGTGCTTGGAATATCAGCTTCTTCTTCCTTCCATAATCTTTGAACATCCCAGCGGCAGTTCACACGGGAATTCTCTTTCAAAGCGATATCAACAATTTAGCGCGATGATTACCAGGAATTATTCGTAAGTAAAAATGTGTGATAATTCAAATTTCAATATTTCACAAAACCTTAAACATTTTCTGGCAATGAAACATTGATTGGAAAGAAATATGTATTTATAAAAGCGAAAAAAAATTTTAATAAGTGAATTGTCTTCAATTCAGAATCAGAGCCGTAACTTTTCCATCTTCTTTACTTTGTTTTATAAGATAATAAAAATTTATTATAATTCACATTATGCGTACAATACCAATAGTAAAAAAATTCAGACTAGAAGAAAGTATAAAGCAATTTAAAGTTTAGAATGGATATAAAGCTATGAAACGAAATGAATGAATAAAGCTTTGAAGTGAAGATAATAATTCACATAATACCATTAAAGCTAATAATGTTTTCAAAGGCAATTTCGAGCAATTTAAAATTAATGTAAAAATCACAATGTCAAAAAGTTACAAAATCAGTTAAATAAAAAACAATCTTATTTGGTTTACTCTATTTTTTCGAACGTTGGCCGCTGGTCTGTTTGCTGTCTTCTTCGTCTTCCTCACTCGAATCGATGAATTTGTTCCGGCCACTTTTGCTTTTTTTGTCGTCGATGGCCAAACTTTCGGCACTGAATGTTCGTCGTAACGGTCCAGAGCCTCTTCTGGCGTAGGATGCACGACGGCTCAAAGGTCTGCTGGTCTCGAGGGTCCTAGGTAAATCTTCTATGTTGGTAAAACTGGTCTCCATAGAATTTGGCTTGAGTCCTTTGGTAGGCGATCGATGAGATGCTTGCTCTAAAATTTATTTGTACAATTTCTGAAAATGTCGCCATTCAATAAAATTCATATTTATTCGTAAGTGAGAGTTTTTACTAAACAAGTTCGTCCTATAAATTCGAGTGTTTACCAACAATTACCATGGGCCTCATTGGCTCAGTGACAGAGCGTCTGTCTAGTAAACAGAAGGTCGCTGGTTTGATTCCAGCATGAGGCAATTATTTTTTGATATTTCTATGTTTACTCTATCGATACTTTTTGATAGGAATTTACATTTCTTGTGACATAACATAAAAACTTATTTACATATCCTATATTTTTATTATTATGACAGATCAATAAAGATCATACCTTTGCAAGTTTTTGTAGGAGAATGCTGAGTATGCCTCTTTTTAATGAAATGATCGGTAAGATCAGGAGGTGGACCTTGCGCAGCAGGATGAGCTGGTTGATGAGGAACGGGAGAGGCGTAAATATTGTTGTACATTTTCGAATATGCTGACTTATCACCCCTGAACAAATCCGCACTATCCGGTCGCGATCGTTCTTCAATAACCTCAAACCGCTTGAGATGCTCCTGCCATTTTGCTTCTGTTAATCGCAGGGCTCTGAAATTATATCCAACGTTAAAGTATAGTATCAACAGTAAATTGAAATCGCTTTCCAAAGTTACTGTTTGGGCAATTCATGATCCTAATTTATAACTATAAAATTCACACTTTCATTGAAACTTACTTAATACTAATAGGATACATAATAATAATGGTAATTTTCTTATGTAGCATTATCAAAAACGATCTCATTTGGTTTACATGTTTTAAGAAAGAATGCTAAAAATGCCTAATTTCCAGCAATGTAAAATTTTGATATATACCCACAGTAAAATTATTTAAAATCAAGTACGAAACAATTTATTTAACTCTTATTCCAAAATTGCAAATAAACTTACTCTCTTTGTTTCTCGATGTTATAATGTGACTCCCACAATTTGTAAATTAGTTCTGTAGTAAAGACCACGTCTGCATGTTGAGCGATCAAACGTAATATGAAGATACCATCGGCTCTCAAGTACTTCTTTATGAATCGGTCAACTTGAATTTGAATCTCTAAAGAACGAATTTTAAGTAAGGGTGACGCACAATAAGTGCCGCATGATTTCGTAAAAAGGCTGTTTATTTTTGTATTTTTTGACGCCAAATTCAAATGTGTTGTAGGAAAGTAATACCGCCGAATTAAAGATTCCCAGCTTTGATTGGTATCTAATTTTCCTCCAGCATATTTGAAATAGGCATTAAATAAAGAGGCGAAAATAAACATAAAATCACTACGAATTCAGGTGGCATTTATTGTGCGTCACCCTTCTTTTATTAGTTATGACTTAAAATAAATTCATACCTTTGAGGCCCTTATCGCTAGAATTCGCAAACACTCGCTCTCCACTCATCTCCAAATGGTTGTAAATGAAGTGCTCCGATGACCGTGGATTGATGAACGAGAAAATCCACATCGTAAAGTTGGATAGAGTAATCGCGCCCAGAATGGCATACCACGCCCATAGAACGATAAACACTTTTTCTAAAGCGAGTTCATTTTAACAGCATTCTTACAGTAAATTATTGACAAAAAAATTACCTGCAAAGATATTGAGGAGCAACATGCATTGCACGGTATGGTTCTGAGTCTGTCCCATTTCGCGAACCTGGAATTTTGTGACATTAGCATAATTGTTGCCAGGCAGTAACAAATTATTCTTACAAAAATCTGATGACAAAATACCGCCTGTTTTTCTCGCAAATTGCTGGATTACAAATTTGGGTTTTCCCATAAAATTCTACAAGCTACTACAAAAATTTCTCTGCAAATCGAGCAGTAATAAATTTGAAAATTTTCAGCTATATCCTACAGACGCACTCTAAGAACACTTACAACCGGGTCCAATCAAAAGTGCCCCCCTGATTTCGTAATGTAAACAACGAGGCAGTCGCCTCTCCTTGTTTACAACTTTACATGTAATGTACATGTAAAGTTGTAAACAAGGAGAGGGGACTGCCTCGTTGTTTACATTACGAAATCAGGGGGGGGGGCACTTTTGATTGGACCCGGTTGTAGTTATAATCCAAGAATATAAGTTGACCAGAATATAATCTTATTTTTAAAGGGACCGAACTAGTTTTACAAATTAAAAAATTTATTCTGGCACAGTATATAATTGATGACCTATTTCTACAAACCATTTGCTTCATTACATGAAATTCATAAAAGTTCATATTTACATCTTCACTCAATGTTTTAAAATTTTTATTACCTCAAAGTCGCATAATGTGACACGAGGAAAGAGCCCACTTTCATGCCACGATGATTCAGTCTTGATCAAATTTCGCCATATGTGGAACCCAAAATCCTGCTTCGGTCCTCCAAATAAGTATCTAAATAAGTAGTTGCAGTACAATGTTTTGAATAGGAAGTAAACTTACCGATTGAGTAACGAAACTTGACATAGAACGTTCACCAAGAAGATCATTTTGCTAATGATGTAGATGAAAGAGATATAGTGCGAAGTGTATTTCATGTTCAATATGCGGAAGATCTTATGTGGCGTAATTCTCTTCTAAAAGTAAATCTTAATTAGTCAAAATTTGTAAAATTGAAATCAATAATTCTAATAGTTTATATAGATGACATTACTTAAGAGAGATTTAGAATCAAATTTCGAACAAACATCTCAAATTACATAATTTTATTTCCCAGCCAAAGTCAGCTATATATTTCATTCTCCCCCAGATTAAACTTCCCTAACCTGCAACTAAATTTTTCAGAGCACCTACCTTTTTAAGTCTATGATGAAAACGCAAAGCGCCTTGTAAGTGTACTGTTAAAGAATGAATGCTCTCGTTCCGAATATTTGGATCACCGTTTGCTTCGTTTGTTGCTAGTCGCAATATTTGTCCGACCTTGACGCCAGATTGCCCAGCAAAATATTTCCAGATCAGCGTGGGAAACTTGAAACACGCGGCTTGGAAGAGGAAGAAGAACGGCATCCATTGATAATAGGAAATGTGACTCGTTCTCTTCTGAATATAAAAATATTACGTCTTATTGCAATAATTATTATTGTAGTACGAAATAGTGTTGAACACAACAGTATGAGATGTCCTAATAAATAATTTTGAAAAATTTGTGTACAAAATCTCTTTACAAATAGCAAATTACAATTCGTACTAAGAATACAAATATACATTCAATCTTACATGTAATCCTAACTCAAAATTCGTTTTGCTCAAAACCCAACAAACTCAACCATACAGTTTCGAAAAATGAGCCGGAAAAATGCAAGTCTGAGTTTTGCGACTATTGGCAGATTGGAAAGTGCATCTTGTAATAGTAAAGCATTGTCTAGAATAGAAACCGAAAATTGTTATGGAAAAATGAAAATGAGACTTTATATTACTTGACTTTCCTTTTCTCTCCAACTATTTTTATTACGAGATAATGCCTAATATGGAAATTTTACGATATAATTACCTCTTCACTGCTCTGATCGACAATGGTTTGATTAAAGGGGACATAATAGGTGTTCGACGCAAAACAGTAATTCTCGGTATACTCGTTCCAACCCGAGGGAAATCCTAATGGAGTCATGCATTCCATCGGTCGTCCTCCGAATTGCTTATAACTGTGCAAAATTGCGAATCCAAGTAGAAGGTTTGACGTGAAGTAGGAGTGAAGTGAAGCAATCCAATCTTGCACAGGGGGCTTGTTCGAATACGGAACGGCGTTGAGAATGCGGAAAATGAACATAGCGAAATGTTAGTTTACTTAGAAAATAAGTTAGAATACAACTAAAATGGCAGAATTCAGCATATGGCCTGAAGACAAATTTAGCATTAGTCAAGGGAATTTTACAGCAAATAATTTCGAGGACAACAGCCATGAAATAGTTGCCCAAACATTTCAAAATGAATTGTTGAACCATAGAAAGATGCGGATTGTGGCGGGCGGTGCCCGAGATTGTTGAAAGTTTTATTTCTTTGAATCCCGAATTGGGCTTGGATTGAGTAAGATCTAGAAGCGAAGTAAGCAAGTTATTATCCTGGATCTATGAATTAATTCTTGGCCTTAAATATCTCCGAGCCATAATGAAAAAACTCTATTCACAAAAAATAAAATATGATGGAAAGCATAAGTCAGGAGAAAAGGTTAAAAGTATGTGATTTCTGGACACCTTTTTGAAGTGATTTTTAATATCAGGAACCCCACGACGTCATACAAATGTAATCATTCACTACTACTGACTAGGGTTGGATTTTGTTCCCTCCGTAACAGCCTCGGCGTTTAACGCTGTCTCTCTTTGTGGTGCAATGATGCTCCTTTCACAAGGCCAGTGGAAATCCTGCTCCCTGATCCGGAGCTCTCTTCTCGAATACAGGGTAGATCGGGGCGGGACTTGGGGGAATAGACGGGGCATGGTCGACTTCCGAGGGGAAACATCCCTCAAATTTTTAGATGATTTAGAGTTGTCTAAGTTTTGTCTATAAAAGTGACATGACATGGCCCCATGTCACCTTACATGACATCACGTGATGTCATGTAAGGTGACATGGGGTCACGTGACAGGGGGTCATGTGACAGGGGTCACGTGACAGGGGTGTCACGTGATGTCACCTGACATCACGTGATGTCACCTTACATGCCCCGCCCCTGCGGGGCGGGGCAGGATGCATGCCGCGGCGGCGAAGCCGCCGCGGCTTGCCCCGGGCTTTTGGGCGGCGGCCGAAGGCCGCCGCCCAAAAGCCCGGAACCCAGTGAACTCTGTATAGAAAAAAGCATACTGATATGGGGCTGTATCGTTTTATAGACTTCTCGGGGCGAGCGAGGATTCGTCGAGCGAGCCTCCATCCCGCCCGAAGGGCGGGATTACCCCCGGCGCCCCTGTTATATGCGTACTGATAAGGTTGGGGCGCCGAAGGCGCCGCCTAGCGAGGGGTGGGGCGCCGCGAAGCGGCGCCCCACCCGGAGCTAGTGATAAACAAAATCTCTAAATCATCATCTTTTACACAGCTCAGCTTGTTATTTTCAATCGATAGAATATTTCCTCTTTGTTCCAGACGGCGAATTATATACCCTGCACCCAATTCGCTGTCTGGACACAATGAAGAAAGACAGGACAAAGACAGAATCCCAAGCTGAGCTGTGTAAAAGATGATGATTTAGAGATTT